CAAAGCGAAGTGAATTTCGCATTCAGCACATAATTTAATGCGGGACACTTTCTTATTTGTTAATATGACGGTCTTCTTAATCTTGAGCCGTCTGGTCATCTTCTGTTCGTTCGGTCACTTTGGGCGATTGCACAATTTCCCATTCTTGCCATGGTTACTTTCGCCCAGCCAGCCCTTGCCGTATCATCGTCGGATCAATAATGCGGCTTAATTTTAAGGGCACACTTCCTCTCTAATCGTGTGCCTGGGGCTGTGTAAGTGCACAAATCAGACGCACACACGTGAACAGACACATGTATTCGCAAGTGCGGATTTGGGTATGCCGGACTTTTCCACACCTGGGCTCTGACTGAGTGTGTGTGTGTGTGTGTGTGTGTGATCCCGAGATGGGGTGTTCTCGCTAATTGAAGCGTATTATTGCGGCCTCGCTGGCTTCAGGCTTTTTCGTCTCCACTGTCGTGATGTGTACTTTCCACTGCCTCATCTCAGCATCGACCGACGTTCGTCCGGCCAAGTGCAGTATTCGAGACTGAGCCGTCGCGATTTCGCAAGCCTGTGCGTCGAGTTTAACGGGCACTGGGCGTTTTAAATCGATGATCCCATCACGTGCGGTCTTTGGCGTTTGGTCTTTTTCCCGTCTACCTGCACTGTCCGGTTTGGCATGTGCACGACACTCTCATATGTGTAGGCATGTGTGCTGATGTGCCGGCTGCTTTCGATTGGCTCTTCAAATTTCCGATCGATTGCATTGTTTGCGGCCTCGGCTCGTTTGGCTCACGTTGAATTGGAAGCCTGTAGACGACTACTGGTCCCTTTGAGTCCATTTTGTCAACTCTCGCAAGTTTGAGCGATGCAACTATACGCCTCAGGGCTGCTCTTGGTTTAGACTTGCTTTTGAAAGTGCCTCTTGCATTTCTTCTTGCGGGCCCGATGAATCCGTGCTGAGCTTTCGTGGCATGCGTCGTCTAAGCCAAAACGCATCAGTTGCGAGAATTTGCCAAGGCACCTCGCCTAGCTTCTCTTTTCGCCTGCGGGACTAGTTGCTTAGAGTGATTTAACGACTGATAATCGAGTTTTCTCTCAACCAGATGAATATGGCTCCCGATACCACTTGGTCTCGCCTGCCAAGAGCTCCTCTCCAGGCTGGTGTGGACTGCAGCGTCAACCTCTCCCAGGTCTCAGCACACCAGACGGCATTCGATAGCGCGTCATCAGTGTCGCGGTGATGTGACTACTCCACTACGCGGCCACCGGTGTCGATGTAGTGCAGTGCCAATCTGGACTGCAGTCCTGCGTGGATGAGATTGCCTTTTGGGAGACAAAGTTAAGTGCATTTTGATGGTATCAGGAGACCTGTTCACCTCATCTTGTGAGAACCCAACCATCAATTAGTAAATCACTCTAAGAGACCTAGGATGATTATTTTCCTGCCCTTGTGCCGCTTTTTCCCTTCTATCGTCTTTCAGTGATCCCATCCTGTTCTAGCAGGTTATGCTTATTTGCCCATCGTCTAATTCAGGCAAGATGAAGGAAATAAAACACTTAGTGGTAAATGATGGTAGATAATATTGCTTAGTAGGCCTTAAATGTCAATTGATTATTTAGCAAATATATTCTATAACACCTCAGTAATACACTCTGTGCCATTACTATATTTTCTATGATGGCTTTCATTTCTTTGGAATTCGCCTGAAGAAGAGATTCTTGGGTCGATCCTACCATTATTAATGATTCCTGTTGCTCTTTAGTCGGTTTCAGATCTGTGCTTCTGGTAGGCTCGTGCAGGATAGAAGACCATCACCTTGTAGGCATTTGCTAAAATTAATAGACTCGGGGAAATTTTAGGATAAATTCATTCCAATTCTACATTCTAGCTAGAGCTCATAAATCTTGACATAGTCCCGTATACTGAAGTGGCAAAGACCAGTGTGGATTGAATATACTTTCAGTTTGCCCTATGGCATATGGAACCGTAAACCTCAGATCTGAACCCTTTTGAGATTGCTTTTTTTCAAATTACTCGTAATGTGTCTTGACGACAAAGCTACTGCTGGAATATTCCAATTTCTGGAAATGTCATATTGGTCAGCCTTCCCACGTTGAATTTAAGCTGTTTGGCTTTTTCAACGAATTTTATCTTCGCAATACATTTCATAAATCCGTTCTCAATTCAGGCTGAATGGCACTTTATACTTGCTTTTACTATCTCATCGATTCGTCTAATAGGATTAGAACCTTTGCTGTGTGTGGGTTCAGAGGAAAACATTTTCTCCTGATTATAATTACTATTGGTTCCCGTAACCCCATGCAATCGGTGGGGAAGGTTACTATGCTTCCATAAATCCACTTAAGGCGACATTGGAGAAACGATAGCACAACATTTTATGAATAGGTAAATGGCCTATATGAAGTGGGGTTGAGAGGAAAAGACGCAGCACTAGGAAGCAAGACAAAAATAGGGACGAGGAATGATGCCACAACGATTGAAGAGAAAATTGGTCAGGGGGATTGCCTTCACTTTACACCTTTATAGGGTGTAACTAACACGTTGTGCCTCGCACTGACTAGGTTGATTACGATGCAGGCTAAACGTCTGCAAATGTACCAAATTAATGGTCCAATATGGTAATCATCGTGAATTCTCTTGGTCGCTCTGGCCCAGTTGCTAAAACGAGGTCAAATCAAAATCATACAGCTAAAGGAGATTGCAACTAAACAAAAGGCCACACCATTTTGGTATTCATATCTACGATTGGTGTATATTTTAAGAAAAATCATCTTCCTATAGATCAGATGACCAAATAAGTACGATCATATAAAAGTGATATTGTAACTTTTATATAGGTATAGTAACCAGGCTTTAAGCTCTTTCATATTCTCTTCTATCGGGGCTGGCCTTGATTTTCCTCCTTGCTTTTAAATGCCCCATTTTTCTGACCGTCATCATATCCTCAATTCCATTTATAATACTTCTATACATTTCGCCTTATATATATATATATATAGCAAAATATTGTACATCTTAATCATTCCATCGAATACATATTCTAGCATTCTCAGATTATTACTCTGTGATTCGGAGCTTTTTCCATTATCTCCTATTTAAAATAACTGGTAATGCATATTTGTACACTAGGCATATGGATCCCATATAAACTAATTCATACTTACCTTTTTTCCTGCAGGGATACTTTTACGCTAAATACTTTGGATAATAGGATCTAAAAAATTGTGCCGTAAAAAACTTTCCCAATTATCCTTTGGTCTCCCAAACTAGTCCTTGGAGGATTCTTATTCCCACTAAATTGTCCTAAGCTAGGACGATGTGCTGTGCTAGGGAGAATATAAATGGAATTATTTCCTAAGTACATCAGTGCGTTAGTTAAATCTATGTTACCGAACGTTTTTACCACGAGTAAGAATCGTCATCAAGATTTTCTTGCATTTACTCACGATTTCAATAGAATTATTACAAACTTCATTACTAAATATTTCTTATTCGTTAACTTCTAACTTGGTAATTTATTTCGTGGATGTGAAAACTAAGGTGATGTGACTTTCTTTTGGTCGCGGTCTCCTTTTGCTTCTTTTGGCAATTTGTTGTTTCAATTCCTGAAAATAATTCTTGTAAGTGAAATATTTCCCAGAATACTAAACTTTTTTCATCGCCTATTTTCAAGAAAAGTTAAAACCCGGCAACGCCTAGATTGTAGAGTCTTTAGGAAGATTTATCATAGTTATTACTAGTGGCTGAAATGGTTTGAGTTATAACCCAATACTGATCATCCTTTGGTTTTTTTGATTTTCGCTGCTAATTAACTATAGCATTATCGCTGAAATCACAAAGCTCTCATCTATCCAACGTGCTGATTCGAGTATTGCGCTAGTTTGGGGCACTCTGTCCGTCTTTCAGATTTTTCTTAAAATTATTTTTAGTTTCTCAATATAATTAGCATAAATTTAAAACTACTTATCAACATAACAGCCTTTTATGAACTACTCAGTAGTGTCAATTCCGTAAATTTTCTTAAATTATTTATGAATAGATTTGTCCGGGATTGATGGTATCGATTTTTTTGTGTATTGTTCACTTGTGGTTTCTTTTGTAAACAGGTGTATGTATCTTATCTGGTATCTTAAATGGTTATTGTCTACAACTTACTGTAATAAGCCATTTGTTAAAATTAGTTTAATCTCCGCTTTGTTTTATGGCACACAGTCATCAACGCTCGCCTAGTTCGCCGGTGGACTTTTGAGTGAGCTTGTTTTTTGCACAGCAGGGGGATCAGGATTTTCT